TTATATATTTTGTATAGGGGAATTCTTTTTTTTTTTTTATGAAGAAATAAATCAGCTAATATTTTTCTTAACCAGAAAAATATCAGCATCAGCCTCTCTTCACACCCGATTTCGCAACGGGATGCGAAATAGCTCGAAATTAATCGCGATATTCCGGGGAAACATTACTGACCGCGGGATAAATGGCAGCGCCGGTTGTTCTTGCAATTAAAGGTCTCTCTAGGTAAGAGAGAGCCATCGTGGTGTGGGCGAGCTCCTTTTCCCGTATAATTACGGCCGATGTATCGACGTCGAGGACGTAATGATCTCGGACGACGATTATTCAAGCGGCAGCGCGCTCAAACGTTTTGGACCACCGGGTATGTAATATCTCGTGCATACACAACACCGGAGAAAGTTGAGAGGCGGCCAATCTTAGCGAGCTAAACGTACTTTATGCACCGTGCCCTCGTTCCGCCGTTTTATCCGAACAATTAGACACGTGGTCCAACGGCCACGGGGTGTACGAAAAAAGTCACAACCTTCCATCTCGCGGGCGGAGAGGAATCCCCGCGATGTAGGAGAAAGAGAGAGAAAGGAAGCGGAAAGAAATTTATCCGCGTTCGCGCCGCCGGACACGCTAATTTCACGTCAATTACACGCGACACGTAACGTACCGTAATCGCTCGGAGTCTTCCGAAGCAACACTAAACACATGTATTAAAATACGATAGATACTGGAATACACGGAAAGGCACGAGTTTGTTTCAGCTATTATCGTGATTAGACTTGATTGACATTACTTTTATAGTTCAGTCTCGTAAATAAATATTTTAATTTACGTTAAGAAGCTGGAGAGTTTCTCATACTTTCTCATTATAAATTGTTTGTTTAACAAATAAGAAATAATCATAAGCACGCACACACACAGTTACAAAATTGCAAATACAATTGTACGAGTAATAAATTAATAAATAGAAATATATGCTAACGAAGAATCCCTGTGGAATTACATTCAGTTTTATTATAATCGTTGAATATTAATCAATCGGTTTTCTCGTAATTCGTAGTTCTTGTGTGCAACAAAACCAATCCAGTTATTGGAAAGCGAGAAGTTGCAAGATGATTTAAACAGCTTAACACAAGACATTATGACGTACGTTTTCTGGTAATAGCAATTTGCATATTAGACCAGTTGAGATAATCGTTGTCGCGATGCTAGATGTTTCTCACGATTACATCAAGTATCAAACGCTAATTATCAAACGCTCCTATTTATAGGGCAAACGAAGCAAAAATTTGAGCGGCAACCGTTTATTATCTCGAAATGAAATCTTAAAACGGCATACCAGCCTCGGTGCAATTAATAATGCATTTCGCATTCATTTATTTCTGCGTTTCGCTAAAGTGACACACCTCGATTAGCGTAATAACGTGCTACGGTACGTGCGAACATTCATTCTGCTTTTCATTTCAAACGAATTCATTCACGACCGTGGGTTACAAACCGTTTCCACGCTTTTGCCTTCCATTATGTTAAATTGAACGAAACGATGTCCTAGCCCATTCGCTTTTTAACCTTCACAATAGTGATCCTTTAACCCCTTAACTGTGATAAATAATAAGCTTATCTCGAGTCGGTTGGCATTATCAACACTTATTATGAGATGTGTTACCGGAAATTTATTAAGCAGTATTTATTCTCAACCTATATGTGTATTCTTATTATCAATAAATTAAAAAGTAAATGTTCGAAATACTCTCATACACACAAATCTGAGATTTAAAATCTTTTTGAAATAGGCTTTATGACATTTTAAAATATTTATGATTGTGAGTAAAGAAACAAAATTTTAGTATCGCGTTAGAAATTACAAATGATAAAAAAAAATATATATATATATGTATATATTAAATTATAAACAATTAATAAAACATTAATTAATTTCTAGTCGAGAGTTTTACTTTAACAACACTTTTATTTAAAATTTAATATAAATAAGAAAATTGATCAAAACTTTACATTCATATTCTATCTTTATATATAATATATTATTCTTTTTAATGATTCGGATCTTAAATTAGTCAAGGAATCTTTTTCTGATTTATTCATCAAACACACACAAACACACACTCTACGGTCATAAAAATATAATTACATTTAAAAAGGATTGTATATAAGCTGAGCTGCACGTTTAAGCTTTAAACGTTAAGTCGTAAGGGAGAAGAAGGAAGAAAGGCTCACCCATATAGGAAGGATACGAGGCGAGGAAGAAAACAACTAGAGGTCCAGCGATCGCGTCTGGGCGCAAAAAGAGTAGAAAAAGTCGAGCGAGGCAAAAAGAAGGAGGGGAAGTTCCCCGAGAATGGGGACATTAGCATAAGCTAAGCTAAGCTAAGCGTGCCCATATAGCACGGAAATAAATAGCCCCCCGTCTCGTATCTACGGCGAGATGCTTTAGCATGGGCCATCGTCGTGGTCGCCGCCGCCGCCGCCGCCGCCGCCGTCGTTCTTCTCATCGTCCTCGTCGACCCCCCCTGACTGAAATCTACCGCCCGGTCGCGAGATGTGTGCGTGCGAACGTGCGTGCACGTATCCAACGAGAGAACACACCGGCAGAAGAGGATCGCCCGGTCCGAAATCCTCTCGGTGTACGTGTTGCGTATACGATGGTGGTGGTTCCTCCTGGAGAAAGGAGCAGATGGGCCGGGAGATAGCTCGCGCGAGCGCTCGTTCGGACAGGATGCGGTTGTCATCGGATGCGCCGAAAGAGGGAGAGAGATAGAGGGAAAGGCAGGAGATAGATACCGGGACTAGAGATTGGCTTCGGGGAGCGAGAACACGTTGCGGCGGGAGACGGACAGAGGGAAGTGGAGAAACGCATTGTCTCAACGGCTCGATGACGATCGCGACACAACGAAGGTACGGTACGTACACCGCCGCGGCGTTACACATTGTTACGTCAGTGAATTGTCGTCATCCCGTCGCCGTCGTCTCCTGGTCCCGACGGGGATCGCGCCGCTGGATGACAGTCGCAGGCGTACCGGCGGCGATAATATCTCCGCCACGTCGATTAGACGCAGCCCGCGGTCAGCGAGCAACGGACAACGTCGAGAGAGGGAGAGAGGACGTACATCTTCTCTGGAGAGACATAGAGAGCGAGATGGAGAGAACCATTCCGCTTATGCTCGGAGAGTTCTTCCGGCGCACGCTCTCCTGCCACCCGGTACGTGGTACAGGAACCATGAGGCTTCACGATCGGAGGAAGAGAAAGAGCATTGTCCCTCTCGGTGCGCTGCTAGCCTCTCTAGGCCCGTCGAGAATCGCGGCTACGTGACAACGAGCGTCTTCGAGATAGCATCGTCATGACGATTATAGGCGGGACAGGCAGGCAGGCGCGGGTAATACAGACGACGACCAAAGTATCGTTGTAACGTAGGGAATACGTCGTGAAGACTCTTGGCTCGTGCTACGAGACGCAAAAACGCGAAGCAGGATGGCTTTCTGGTTCTCCCAGCACGTTTTTCAAAGGGAATTCATGACAAATCTGTCATCGCGCGCTCGTGATGTCTAAATAATATTTCATGGGATAGTACTTATGCAGTGAGTCTTTTTTCTTCAACAACAAAGAACTACTTGACAAAGCTTGAAAAAAAAACTTTTAGTGGCGTAATTTTTAGTGAATACGAAACTAGACTTTTTAACCTTTACAGATTGGGAAAACCGCTATAGTGATGTTGAAATGCCATGTTTTGAAATAAGGATATATACAATAAAATAAATTATAGTAAATCTTCTTACTTAAGGAGAGGAAAAACTGTAAGATTTTTAAATCTAAAGGTTAACAAAACTCGTGGATTTAGAAGCACGTTTCATTTCAATTATGAATAAATCACAATTTATCACCATATATTTTTATCGTCAAAATAGAAGGAAAAACATTTATAAAATATACTCCAACTTAAATCAGAGTACAGAGTGGTTGAATAAAATTATCTCATACTGAGAGAAAAGATATAGTATTGATAACAAAAAAAAAGAATTATTCACAAATGGCCAATTATCATTAGATTACTTTGTTAAAATTACAAAATACAATATTTTTTTGTAAGACGAACAAAATTTTTTTATTTAACAGTACAAATTTATTCGGTTACTCACGTTTTGTAAATACCAATGTAAAATTTGGTTGCCATTACAAAATAAGTATTCTTTTAGTAATATCAACAAAATAATCCACTATGGTAGAACAAGGAGTGTTTCGCGGAGCTATCAGAGATGGCGTGTCTTCTCGAGAGAAATTCAACGTCTACCTCTATAAAGCCGAGACGATTAGAGACTAATCTCGTGGACTTCTTGGTTCTCGCCACACCATGATCAATCATGGTAACTACAATATTTTTTCAGAGCGATTAGTAATCTCAATTGCTCTAAATCTATATATATTTTTGCTAAGCTAAGAAAATTCAAAAACGCCAAACATAATCACTCTGTAGAAAGTGAGAGATACTTATATATTATTCATTTTGTTCCGGTAATAAAATGTTCTATTTCTAATTACAAAAGATCTATAAACATCATACAAAACAGTTTTGTACCATTAAATGATCAGTTTAGTTAATAAATTCAACAAATTAACCCTTACCATACTATCTACAATTTGGTGCCTCATCCATACCATCATGGGTCACTTCAAATATCTTCGTTTTTTCATCTCTTCAAAATAATAAAAAAAATCTCTAAAAATTCACCAACATACTTTCAACTTTCTAGAATAAATATTGACTCTTTATTTTGGGAAATAATAAAATATAGTATAATTTATAATTACCGAAAAACTCAAAGAAACTTGCACGAACAGGAATCGCTCGGTCACTAGTTATCCATATTAGTACGGTAAGGGTTAATATTATCGTGGTAACCAACGGTTTGATTGATCATATATATCAACAAATAGTTTTTGTGTCAATAACAAAACTTTGATTATTGGTACAAAACATTTCTCTCAGTGCAGACTCACCAGTGGTGAAGAGGACGATGGCCTTGAGGCAGCTGTACTCTGCGGAGTCGACGTGAAGCGCCTTGAGTTTCTCCACTTGCTCCTGGAAGATCCTGATGTGATCCATGAAGGCGACCACGCGATCCGCTGCCATCGGCGAGGCGGGAAGGCCTGCCGCCGCTAGAAGCGGTGCCACGTGGAGGGGCATTGAGCACTGGCTCGCGTTCAGGACAAACAGCTCGCTCCACACTAGCCTGAGCAGGGCCACCTGGTCCGTCACTTGAAGATCCGGGAAGAACGGGATGTTCCGGGCCCACTCAACCGCCGAGAAGAGCAGCCGCGCTGCGAGCTCGCAGATATTGTCGATGCCCATGATGTTGTTGGGCTGCATGCACTGGCCGTATCTCGAGGTCGGATAGGGCTCCGCCCTCAGCAGCAGGCTTATGTACGACGAGAGGTAAGAGTGTCCGTTTAGGCTGGCACACGCGACCGCGTCCCCGTTCGTCAGGGCGAACTGGCCCGGCAGACCCGGCAGCGAGGGTTGCGACGGCGGCACTCGCCCCCTTTGCACAGCTAAAAACAGAAACGAAGGCGTCGAAACGCTTGATAATGTGAAGACTCGTCTTTATCTAAGATGCTGATCTCACTTTCACGTTACACGGTACAATCTCTTTGTCATCTTGTCCCGAGATCTGCGCGAGAGACGAATCAAGACGGCGAATAAGTTAGTTGATCGAGCTTGTGGAATTCGAACATCTTGAAATATTACACGTGAAAAATGAGAAAAATGATTTAAAAACGTAAAATATATCAACTATGCAACTCTACTTCTTACAATTATAAATAAGAATTTATAATATAAAGTATAAATCAATTAAAAGAAATAATCCTATTTTTTATATTGAAGCTGATCTTGGTGCTCAATAATATTTATATGCAAATTTTTACAAATATATTTTTCGGTTTTATAAACTACACGCCAATACGATTTGTCAGACTTGAAATGCAATCACAAATTAAAACTTAAATATTAATATCTATAATTAGATTGATCGTCAATTTAATAATAATGTTAATAAGCATTATATTTACAAAAATTTGCATATTATTAAACACCAAGCCTCTTTCTCGACTAAAAATAAAATTCCTCTTATATAAACGCGGTTATTTAATTTCAACTTAACTGTTTATCTTTTTCTAATTTTCCTTAGAATTAGAAAAAGATAAAGAATAAATTGAACTGAGATTAAAGTTAAGCAGACATTGGTGGAACCAGGTCTAAACGAATACATTTCTCTCTACTCTTTAAAAATGCAAATTACAAATCTTTTAAAGTAATTTTCATGAATTATTTACACCTGTACATCTCGCTTTAAAACTAAATGTTAAAGCCAACGCTTTAACTTGTCCTAGTTTTACGTATGACCTTCATCTATCCCTTCCTTAAAGTGTCTCGAGGTTTGTAGGAAAATTTCAACGTACGCAGGGAGTCTGATAAGCCTGTTGCGCAATGAGATTTATCTATGCAGTCACGCGTCATCGAGTTCGCGACTCCGGCATAAAAGAGAACCAAGCTCTTTCACTTTTCGGTACGCAATCCTTTGGTTGAAATATTACCTATCTAAACCGTACCTAGCTCATTTTCAAAGATACATATACCTATCCATTCACCATAAGTGTATTTATATAAATTATTGTATCGATGTTTCATATGATTAACGTCAACGCAAGATAAGACTCTGACGCATGCAATTTAGCGACGAATATATCGTTAACCTTGATCACGTGTAAAAGATTAACAACAATCATCCTTGAATATCCTAAGTATCAAGGGCACTTTTATTCATTTCTGATGAGCAGGATAAAAAAATCTGACGAACGGGTTGCGCCATGTATGTCTATAATGCGAATTTCTATGTCGCTCAGGGCGATCATCCTCATCAGACAGACGTGACGTAACGAACAGAGGTCCTTTTCTTTCGCTCGTGCCGACCACCGCGTAGCTAACGGTCCGTTTCACCGAGAGACCGTTGGAGCAATTCGTGCCTCGCAGCAGAGATTTAGTTAGGGATACGTAACGCGCTCGTTTAACCGCGTACACTACTTCGCTACGTGTGCTAGCCACTTCCAAGAAGTCACCGGCGATACGAATGGTTACGGAGAGCTGTATGACACCTGTACCGGAACCCGGATGAGTCTCTCACGGCGATACTCTCAAGTGCCTGCAAATATTGTGCAAAAGCAAATACACGCCATGGTATACGTGCCATAACACGGCACGTTCGAGTACACGCAAATACAATCGCCCGTGAGACACGCTGCCGGTGTCGGTGATTCGATCGCAGTCGTACAAATTTCGCCGAAAGCTGTGCGCTCGGCCGTACCGGTTCATCGACCGGCATCACCATTATTATCGTCATCATCATCATTATCCCCATCATCATCGTATCATTGAGGTTAATGTCCGCTGCAATTCTAGACATGCTATTTCGACGGATTTAGTTATCCCTTTTTTTGCTGAAACACATGCGTTTCTAAGAGAATTTGTAACTTCGCTGCATTTACGTATTATGTTTTTTCCACAGAATAGAAGTTCAATATTGCGGTCTGGAGTATAATGATTATTACAATAATTGTATGTCTTCTTATAATACCCTTTCACTTAAAATTATTACGACGTATATTATACATTTATGCAATTAATATATGTAAATCTCGTATATTCGTGCATAATACAATCTACATAAACTTGACAAAATAATTTAAACTTAGTTCTTCCGTTTTAAAGGGATTTCGGGTATCGATCGGTGATTTCCTACACGGGCCTCGATTGCGAGCGACGACAATGCCTTTTCACTGTGCGACCACGCGAGATGTCCTGTAAACCGTTATGTCCTTATAAACGTACCTCTGCCGCATTCTCCGGGCGCGATTACCGCGATTATTACCGGACCGCGTATTTTTTCCGCGCGTGGACTGCACACACGTATACATGCGAAAGAAGGTAGTAGTGGACGACGACGCGATTACTCCGTTGAGTAACGACCGCGCGTGTTCTTGCGCGATTGTCCGCCGTGCGAGTGTACGCGATTGCGCTCATCTGTCCGCGTAACGCAATTACTTCGCGTTACTCGAGTGTGCTTTCACTCGCGATAATTGGCAAATGACGGGGCAACGCGTGCGCGTGACAATGCTGAAAACGAGGCGACCGGAACGAGCTGCCGACGAGCCTTCGCAAATCTGCGCCTCAACTTGTCGAGTATTGAAGCGAATAATGTGAATTATTTTAATGCGCGCTCGTTGGATACACGTGGAAACTTGAAGCGTCTCAAGGTTAAATTTCTTCAAGTAATTTAGAATAATAATTTCGTAACTTATCTTCTTCCTAGAAATGTTTAATTAGTAACAATAATTACTTATAATTCTACGTTATAGTAACGATAATTATTAATAATAAAAGAAATATCAATTAAGGATACGAAGCACAGGCGAGATAAGTATATTAGAAAATTATCTTTACCGTAGAAAAAGATCCTAAGTAAAATTAATAAATTTAGAAATAATTACCTGTTTTAAAAATATAAAATTATTTATAAAAAATATAAAGTTAATGCAAAGATTGTATCATGAGATAGCTTTCTATATTTTTTCCAAGTAAATAGTACATTGGTTCTATCTTTTCTGTGCTTTAATTTGTTTGTAAGTGTTCCTTTTTGTGTCAAATTTTCAACTATTAATACAATATATCGATAATATGAGACTGGAATTATCGCGGATCTTAAGAAGACGCCGCAGCTTCGACGACATTCTGGAGGACTCTCGATCTTCGGAACGCGGAACCGAGAGAACGAAATCATTGAGAACACACTCAAACCCTGCAGCCAAAAGGGAACACCGTCTAGGACGTACCCCGGCAAATTGCGACTCATAACAACACGTGGGCGTATGTGCGGCGCATCGATGAGGCGCGACGCAGCGCTCGTGTTCTTGGAAGAGATAGCGACTCAGAGAAAAAGAGAGAAAAAGAAGGAGAGGGAGAGAGCAAGAGAGAGAGAGAGAGACCACTCGCTCTAGCTCGCGCGAGGCTAGCAGTGATGCGGGACCAGGGGAGGCTGGCACGTTAAAAGCGAAACGGAGAACGGACGAGAAGCAGCGGTCGCAGAGGAAGAAGAAGACGACGACGCAGAAGAAGAAGAAGAAGATGAGGAAGGGAGTCTTTCACGTACGAGATTCTCCTGCTCGAGAGAGCCGAGACTCGAAGAAACGGCGCCCCGCTGAGAAGCGCCTGGATGCCAACCTCCGCCCCGCGGCTCTAACGAAGGAACGGGCTCTCCTCTTTTCCTTCCTTCTCCATCTCGTCGCTTCTCCATCCGTCGTCGTTTCGGTCCCATCCTTTTCCGCTCTTCACCTTTCTTCGCGAGAGGGGCCACATGAGAGGTCCAGACGGGAGAAGTCCGTCCGTTGTCGTCTCGTCCCCTCCAGAGGGATCGACGAAAGTCCCATTTAATGCTCCGGACAGCGGCGTCGCACTTCCGCGATATCGATGCATCGACGATCAGGCTAGAAAGGGAGAGAAAGAGAGGGAAATCGCGTACAATGATGCGAAGTTGACACGCGAAACCGGAGATAAACATGTTCCGAGCATGCGGGTGAGCTTGTCCAGATCGTCCGATATCACCGAGAGTGATTCATCGGCAGAGACTCGCGACTATACTCCTTTTTCTTTTCGTTCCCTTCGCCGACATCTCGGCCCGCCTTCTCCAAATCGTTCTCATATCGCGCATGCATTTGCAGAATCATGGATGAACGTTTGCAAGAATGGAAAAGCGAATAATCGACAAATGAGAAAAGATTAATAAAATAAAAAAAAATTATTAGCGCACTTACGTAAGAAAGAATATAAAAAAGATAGGCTTTTTCATTTATAACAGTTGATGAAATGAATGATCAAATGAATAATCTTTGTCTTTGTGAACGAAATTTTTAATCAATACAAAATATATTTGATCCAATTTTTAATTATTTTATACATGGGAAGATGAATGAAATTATTTCCAGGTCTGTATTTAGCTAAATTTTTAGACACTTCAACAAAATCGTTCTTTCTATGTATACAATATATGTGTATCTATAATATACGATTTATTTTATATATATATATACATGCATTAATACTTTGTTTTACGTGCACGTTTTCACTCGTAGGCGTACACATTCCATACATTTCATTAACTTTATGTTATCAATATCTAACATTCTTATCCTCTGGAAATCAACGGACTGTAATCATGCTTTTAGCATCGCTCTAAACGCGTCTAAACGCGCGGAAACGACGTTATTCTACAAGGAGAAAACCGGACAGATGGGAATAGACGCGTATCGACCTGGCTAGGTTTCGCGAGCGAAACCAGGAGACGCCCGTGGTCTTGCCGAGGGACGATCCGCGCGAGAGAATCTCAACGGCCGACGGAGGATGCGAATTAGCATGATGCGGTTCCCCGATAGCGCCGACTGTGCGCGCGGCGTAAACGTGTATACGGTACGGTATATATGCAGATTCGGTACCGTTACCA